CTGTGATATGCCGGTCTGGTCTTGCTGTGATATGCCGGTCGGGTCCCGCTGTGATATGCCGGTCTGGTCTTGCTGCGATATGCCGGTCGGGTCCCGCTGTGATATGCCGGTCGGGTCCCGCTGTGATATGCCGGTCTGGTCTTGCTGTGATATGCCGGTCTGGTCCCGCTGTGATATGCCGGTCTGGTCTTGCTGCGATATGCCGTCTGGTCCCGCTGCGATATGCCGGTCTGGTCTTGCTGCGATATGCCGGTCTGGTCTTGCTGCGATATGCCGGTCTGGTCTTGCTGCGATATGCCGGTCTGGTCCCGCTGTGATATGCCGGTCTGGTCCCGCTGTGATATGTCGGTCTGCTTCCGCTGTGATATGTCGGTCTGCTCCCGCTGTGATATGCCGGTCTGCTCCCGCTGCGATATGCCGGTCTGGTCCCGCTGTGATATGTCGGTCTGGTCCCGCTGTGATATGCTGGTCTGCTCCCGCTGTGATTGATATGCTGGTCTGCTCCCGCTGTGATATGCCGGTCTGCTCCCGCTGCGATATGCCGGTCTGGTCCCGCTGTGATATGTCGGTCTGGTCCCGCTGTGATATGCTGGTCTGCTCCCGCTGTGATTGATATGCTGGTCTGCTCCCGCTGTGATATGTCGGTCTGCTCCCGCTGTGATGTACCCCAGTAGCCGTCGGCTGTGCTGGTGCTTCCCAGCACTTCCCGGTTGGTCCGCATCCATTGAGAAGGCGGAAGTGACATCAGCACAGGAAGAGGAAATGGTTAGCATGGCACACATTCGGAGCATGCATGCTGCTTCATCATCCCATCTGACCATGATGAGCAAGCATGCTCCAAATGTGTGCCACACCCACCACTTCCTCTTCCTGTGCCGACGTCACTTCTGCTTTCCCAAGGGACCCGGACCTGTCACCAGGGGTGGACTGACAACTCATGGGGCAATAGGGGATCATGGGGCCCCTGTGTCCTTGCCCAAACTCAAAAAAGTCTATGAAAAAGGTACCAGGGGCATCTCATGGGGCCCCCTACTGACCCCGGGCCCTCAGGCAGTGCCTGAGTTTCCAAATGGTCAGTCCGCCCCTGCCTGTCACGTGCCTGGTTAGTGAGCCTGACATGAAGAGGAAGGCTTCTCATACAACTGCAGCTCAGGGGCCACTGGTAGTGAGACAGCAGCCACAAGAGCACGGTGGGATAGGAGTGCCTGTGATCTGTAGTCTGTGTGGGTAGCAGTTGTCAGCAGGCAGATGTGGCAGCAGGACAGGCTGGTGGCAGATGATCTGGCATGGAGCTTGACTGACGGTAGACTGTGGATGTGCAACACAGAGCAGGAGCCAGGCTTGAGCTTGCTGGACTGAAGAGCTGTAGCAGGCTGGATGAGCAGAATGCAGGGTCAGACAAGGCAGATCAGACATAAACAGCAAGCAGTGGAATAGTCGGGTCACAGGACTGTGTCTGCAATGGTGAGGCAGATCAGGCAGGAACAGGAGGCAGCAGCAGAATCCAGGGAGAGGCCGAGGTCCAGACAGGTTTCAGACAAACATGATCAGGAGCAAGCTGGGTCAGACACTGGAATCAGGAACAAAACACACAGAAGCTGTAAACCAAACAGCAATGAGCCAATGCTGCAGCCTTGTTTAAGCACTTGTCTACCAGGCACTTATACCCCCTTCCTTACCAGGCCGATTTGCAGCTTTCAGCGCTGTTGCACTTTGAATGACAATTGCACTGTCATGCAACATTGTACCCATATGAAATTTTTATCATTTTTTTTCTCACAAATAGAGCTTTCTTTTGGGGGTATTTACTCACCGCTGGGTGTTTTATTTTTTGCACTATAAACAAAAAAATGCAAAATAATTGAACAAAAAAAAAAGAATTTCTTTGTTTCTATTGTAAAACTTTGCAAACAGGTAATTTTTCTCCTTTAGTGATATGTGTTGATGAGGCTGCACTGATAGGCGGCACTGATGGAGTGGCACAGATAGGTGGCACTGACTGGCGGCACTGCTGGGCAGCACTGCTGAGTACAGGTAGGTGGCACTGATGGGTACAGGTGGGCGGCATTGCTGGGCACTTGTGTACAGCACTGCTGGGCACTTGTGGGTGGCACTGCTGGGCACTGATCATCAGGGCATTGATCATCAGTGCACTGATGATCAGTGCCGATCCCTCCTCTGACAACAGGCAATTGCATTTCCCGGTGATCAGTGTGTCATTGGACACGGTTGATCACGTGGTAAAAGACTACTGTGATTGGCCTTTTACCATATCATGTGATCAGCTGTGTCTGTAGGACACAGCAATCACGGAGATCGCCGGGTGCGTGCCCCTGGGGGCGCACAGGAGAGCGTGTTCTGGGAGGATGTCATATGACGCCCTCCCAGAACTGACCGGCCGCAGTGAAGCTGTCATTTGGCTATCTGCAGTCAGCAAGTGTTTAAAACTGCTACAGGTCGGCACAGGTGCACAAAATCATGTATATATACACACGTGATTTTGCATTTCCAGATAGGGGGCGCACACAAGCCCTACCAGCACCGCCATTTGCAGCCTCAGCTGTCAATCAGCGGGTCCCGTTGGTGATTACTTGCCAGCACCCGGTGATCGCTGAGCATTTACCGACGGGGGGAGAGAACTGTATGTACACAATACAGTTCTCTCCCCGGTCAGCTCCTGTACACTGCTTTGTATGGCTCTGCATAGCACCGCCATACAAAACAGTGTGCTTACAGTGTAAAGCACGCACAGCATACTGTGAAACAGCACACAGTTAACCCTTTGATCACCCCAGATGTTGACCCCTTCCTGCAAAGTAGTACAGTGTCAGTGCTTTTATTAGCACTGATCACTGTATTGGTGTCACTGGGGATGTCAGTGAGACCAAGTCAGTTCCCCCCAGTGTCGGAATGGCTGCTGCAGTCCCGCTATAAGTCGCTGATCGCCGCCATTACTAGTAAAAAAAAAACCCCAAAAAACCCCCAGTATATATACTGTCATTTGTAAACACTATAACGTTCACATAAACCAATTAATTTACACATATTGGGATTTTTTTTTAGTAAAGACGTAGCAGAATACATTTTGGCCTAAATTTATGACGAAATTTGATTTTTAATTTTTTTTTTACTAGATGTGTGTAATAGCAAAAAGTCAAAAAACTGTTTTTTTTTTTTTTTCAAAATTGTGGGTTTTTTCTTTTCATAGCACAAAAAATAAAAAAAACGCACAGGCGATCAAATACCACTGAAAGAAAGTTCTATTCGTGGGGAAAAAAAAGGACATACATTTCATTTGGGTGCAGCATTGCATGACCGTGCAATTGTTAGTTAACGTACCACAGCGCCGTAACACAAAAAATGGCCTGGTCAGGAAGGGGGGGAAATCCTCTGGAGGGCAAGTGGTTAAATAGCCTGTTTGGTGCCAGTATTGGTGACAGGCAGGCCCTGGTTGTATGTGTGTACATGCGTGTGAGAATGTGTGCATGCCTATGCCCCACACGCACATCTGCCCAGACAGTTGCCGGTCTGCGTATGCGCCTTGAAACTTCATCAGTGCTACGGGCAAGCCTTCCCTAACAGAACCATCCATGAAGTGCTGGCAAGCACCAGCACAGCCGAGGACTACTGCGGTCCATCACAGCAGGACCAGACCGGCATATCACAGCGGGACCAGACCGGCATATCACTGCGGGACCAGACCGGCATATCACAGCAAGACCAGACCGGCATATCACAGCGGGACCAGACCGCCATATCACTGCGGGACCAGACCGGCATATCACTGCGGGACCAGACCGGCATATCACTGCGGGACCAGACCGGCATATCACAGCAGTGTTTTTGGACTTGATGGGCCTTTTATCTTCTACCTTTGTGAGTTGCCAATTAGTTGATGAATAAAGCCTGTGCTTTTATGCTACACTCAGAAGGTGCTGCTTCACTCTCTTCCTCATCCATTGCAGAGTCCCTTCTAGCTCTTTCTGTAAGCAGCAGCCACTGGGTCAAGCATCGAGGCCACCTGGATCATTATAGGGATTCCCCATTTGTACCAGCCTCTAATACCCATTGTATCTGGGACTGCTTTCTGTATAGTGTGCCAAATATCTCTCTCTTAGAGCCAGTTCACACTACATGCGTTCCAGTTGCTTTTTTTCTGCATCAGTGCTTGCAGATCGAGGTGCAGAAAAAAAAAGTAGAACAGGCTGCATTATTCCTGCACAGAACTGTACACAATAAAACGTATAAAAAAATGCACCGGAATGCAATAGAACACACCAAAAATGCACTGGAACACACATGTCCCTATTTAAACTGAAGAAAAAGAGAGGGGGAAAAAATAACTGGAATGTTTAAAAAATGCACTGGAAAGCATCAAAAATGCACTGGAAAGCATCAAAAATGCACTGGAATGCATAGAAAACGCGCATGCAGAAATACATCCAGAACTCATCTGGACTGCATTTCTATATTGTGAACCACCCTTTAGAGCACTTAAAGCAGAACTACATCGCATCTGAGTACCACAAACCATAAACGCTATTTAATTTATTTTTAATATTCAAAGCAAACTCCCCTATCCATCCATGTCCCCATGATTTATTTTGCTTTGAAAGACAACCCCCTGGCATTTCTGGCTGTGGCCATCTTGAGTAAGGGCAGATAATTAATGTAGCATTTACTCTCTGGAGGAGGAGGGTGTGCTTAGCTGAGAAAACCCATCCTCCCCTCCTGAAGGCTCCTGGGATGTATTACATCATTTTCCTAGGCCTGAAAACCAGGAAGTGACTGAAAGAAATTAAAAAAAAAAAGTTTAACCACAAGCCCACAGGGCACTTATACCCTCTTCCTGCCCAGGCCAATTTCCAGCTTTCAACGGTGTTGCACTTTGAATAACAGTTGCGCGGGTCCTGCAACATTGTACCCATATGGAATTTTTATCATTTTTTTTGTAACAGATAGAGCTTTATTTTGGTGGTATTTAATCACCTCTGGTTTTTTTATTTTTTCTTAAACATACCAAAAACCACTGAAAATGTAAAATAGAAACACGTTTTTTTCTTAGTTTTTGTTATAAAATTTTGTAAATAAGTGATTTTTCTCCTTCACTGATGTGCGCTAATGAGGCTGCAGTGAAGGGCACTGATAGGCTGCACTGATGGACACTGATAGGTGGCACTGATGAGGAGGCACTGGTAGGTGGCACTGATGGGCATTGACAGGCATCACTGATGGGCACTGAAAGGCAGCACTGATATATGGCACTGATAGGCGGCATATATGGCACTGTTAGGTGGCACTGACTGGCACTGTTAGGCAGCACTGACGGGGCACTGATAGGCAGCACTGATAGGTGGCACTGATTGGCATTGATAGGTGGCACTGACGGGAGACACTGAAAGGCAGCTCAGATGGGCACTGATATGTGGCATTGTTGTGCACTCGTAGACACTGATATGTGGCATTGATGTGGCACTGGCATGTGGCACTGATGAGCACTGACGGACACTGACAGGTGGCACTGCCGGGGCTACACTGATCATCAGGGCACACTGATCATCAGTGTTTTGATGATCAGTGTACATGTTCCCTCCGCGGAATGCCAATTACCGGCTCTCCTCTCGAGCTGTCAGCGTGACAGCTCGAGAGGAGAGAAATGCCGATAACTTGCATTTCCCTGTTTACATGTGATCAGCTGTGATTGGACACAGCTGATCACATAACTGAGCCGACATCTTTGGCTCTTTCCATGGATCGGTGATCCGCTGTGCCTGAGGGACACAGCGCACCTCTGATCGCTGCGCTTCACGCTCCGGGAGCCGTGCATGCGCGGTTAGAATGGGAGGACATCATATGATGTCCTCCCAGAACGAGAGGTATGAACAGGAGCCAGGCGCTGTGTAGTTTTGTGATAGAAATAATACACCTTGTATGGAGGTGTGCCTTTAATAAGTCATATGGTAAAACAATAATAAATAACCAGCCTGTGGCTTTAGGAAGCCAGGTTCCAAGATGGACGGCCCGTCCGCTCAGAGGGAAGCAGTGGAGTAGAATGCCTGTCAGTGCAGGGACCACGTTTACCCGACGTCCCAGCGTCCTGGATGACGTTACCAGCAAGAGTTCCCCCCCTCCGTCTCTCCACATCGTGGTGACGTCATCCAGGACGCTGGGACGTCGGGTAAACGTGGCCCCTGCACTGACAGGCATTCTACTCCACTGCTTCCCTCTGAGCGGACGGGCCGTCCATCTTGGAACTTGGCTTCCTAAAGCCACAGGCTGGTTATTTTTTATTGTTTTACCATATGACTTATTAAAGGCACACCTCCATACAAGGTGTATTATTTCTATCACAAAACTACACAGCGCCTGGCTCCTGTTCATACCTCCACAAACCGATGTGTTTTTACCATGGCAGCAGTGAGTTTTTTCCCCACCAATCATAGTTGACATATACCATTCACTTATTTCCTTTGGGACACATCTGTGCGTTTTTATCCAGACCGTTCTCCCAGAACGAGAGAACCACCTTGCATCCGTCATATTACTATATGGCGGGCGGGAGGCGGTTAAATAAGTAAATATAATATACATTCGTATCTATTTACTAATGCCAGCAGTAAAGGGTTAAAATAGATTTAAAGAGTGAAGTTCCACATTAAAGAGTATGAAATACAGGAATGATATATTCTTGTTAAGCATTTAGGGCCGGTTCACACCATGCCTGCACAGGAACCCACTGTGAGTTCCACTGTGATTCACATGCAGTTCTGTGCGGTGCGATTTCAGCTCATTCATTTTGAATGGGCTAAAATCACACAAGAAGTAGTGCATGCAGAATTCTCTCTCACTTGGACAGCACAGAAGTGCCATCACTACACTTGACTTCCTAGCATTGCCCACCTGGAGACGTTTTCAAGGGACTGCAAGGTTTAGGAGAGAAAAGCCGGCCATACATGGGTCAAATTCCCAAAGAATTTTCATTCGAAAATCTTTTCCTAGAATTTTTGTTTGAATTTCACACCAGAAACGGACGTTTTTCGTGACCATTGAATTTGAGTGATCGGGCATATTGGAAATATTTAGAAAAATTAACGAATTTTGAATCAATGATGGGAGAAACGTGCGGGTAATATAAACGAAAAATAAATGAGCATGAGCTGTGACCTGGAAAGAAAAGAAAAATTCTTGGCCATGAAAATCCTTTTCTGTAGCAACATGTGGTAAAATTAAAGGCTTGGTTGGTAGAATTTAAAAATCAATGGTGGCGCCATCGGATTACAAAATGCACGAAATTTCCGATTTTCTAAAGAAAATTTGTTTGTAATTCGACCTGTGTATGGCTTCCATTAGTCCAATTTTCTTCAGAGAAAAATCCTTTTCATGTGGATGATCTATGTACATTGAAATGATTTTAACAAACTTTGTTGCAGATTCCTACCTTTTGTTATTCTGCAGAAACAGCTGTTTGTTTGCTTGTGTCCATGTGCAGAGTAAATCTGTATGGGAGTGGTTTTATAATTATCAATTAGCTGCTGCACCTGCAGGAAAGTGGCAGGGTCTGCATCCCTTCAGTCTAGATTCACACCTAAGCATTTTCCATTGTGTTTTGCTGAAACACACAGCAGTCCACTTAATATGATTTCCTATTGGACATGTTCACATCTCTGCATTTTCACCCGTTGCGTTTTTTGTAAAAGGTCAGGGACTTTTTTTAAATGCAAAATGTTGCCTTTTTGGTTCAATAGACTTCAATTGACATGCTGCAGAAATGCATGTAGTGGGTTTTGATGCGTTTTTGATGCATTTTGATCTGCCCAGCAACAAGCTGGAGAAAATGCAAAATGAGCCAAAAATGCATGTGCAAAAAACGCAAAACACACCGCAAAAAGCACTGCAGAAACGGATCAAACACAAACTGCAATTGGTGTGAACCTGGCCTTAGATGTAATTTTCCTTTGGGAGTATCCCACCAAAAACAATATTTTTTATTGCAGAGAATCTCAAATCTGACTTGTATGTTAGTGCAAATTTCTGGGAAAATCAGTAACCCAAGCACACAGGCAGGAAATGTCATTTTCTGTACAGAATGCCCCCAGGCTGCAATATTGTATTATATTTTACAGAACATTAAAGTGCCGTAGAATAAAAAGGAAAGGTCATTTTTAATACCATGAAATTACAATACACACTGCTCAAAAAAATGAAAGGAACACGTTTTAATCTGAGTATAGCATCAAGTCAGTGAAACTCCTGGGATATTGATCTGGTCAGTTAAGTAGCAGAGGGGGTTGTTAATCAGTTTCAGCTGTTTTGGCATTAATGAAATTAACAACAGGTGCAGTAGATGGGCAACAATGAGACGACCCCCAAAACAGGAACGGTTTTACAGGTGGAGGCCACTGAAATTGTTTTCCATACTCATCTTTTCTGACTCTTTTTTCACTAGTTTTGCATCTGGCTAGGGTCAGTGTCTCTACTGGTAGCATGAGGCAATACCTGACCCTACAGAGGTTGCACAGGCAGTCCAACTCTTCCAGGATGGCACATCAATACGTGCCATTGTCAGAAGGTTTGCTGTGTCTCCCAGCACAGTCTCAAGAGCATGGAGGAGATTCAAGGAGACAGGCACTCTAGGAGAGCTGGATAGGGCTGTAGAAAGTCCTTAGCCCATCAGCGGGACCGGTATCTGCTCCTTTGTGCAAGGAGGAACAGGATGAGCACTGCCAGAGCCTTACAAAATGACCTCCAGCAGGCCACTGGTGTGAATGTCTCTGACCAAACAATCAGAAACAGACTTCATGAGGGTGACCTGTGGGCCCGACGTCCTCTAGTGGGCCCTGTGCTCACTGCCCGGCACCATAGAGCTCAACTGGCATTTGCCATTGAACACCAGTATTGGCAAGTCCGCCACTGGCGCCCTATGCTTTTCACAGATGAGAGCAGGTTCACCCTGAGCACATGTGACAGACATGAAAGGGTCTGGAGAAGCCATGGAGAACGTTATGTTGCTAACATTGTTCAGCATGACCATTTTGGTGGTGGGTCAGTGATGGTCTGGGGAGGCATATCCATGGAGGGACACACAGACCTCTACAGGCTAGACCAGCAATGGGCAAACTACGTGGGCCGTGACCGGCCGTATACGCCCGGCGGACCTTTTAATCCGGCTCGCGGAGCTAGGCTCCTCTCACAGTCCGCCCTGAAGACCGGTGTAGCATGAAAATCTGTCTCCTATGAGGATCTGTCCCCCTCGACGTATCTGCGCATGTGCCGGAGATCGCCGATCGGCTGCTAATGCCTGAAACTGGCACATGCGCAGATACGTCGAGGTGGACAGATCCTCATAGGAGACAGATTTTCATGCTACACCGGAACGGCGCGGGAACACGGCGAGAGGAACGCGCGGAGCAAAGGTAAGTGAATTGACACAGGGGGGACTTGGGGACTTAATATGGGGATGAATTACTATAGGGGGGATGAATTACTATTAGGGGGGGGGGATGAATTACTATGGGGGGGGATGAATTACTATAGGGGGGGGGGGATGAATTACTATGGGGGGGGGGATGAATTACTATGGGGGGGGATGAATGGGGGGATGAATTACTATGGGGGATGAATTACTATATGGGGGAATTATGAATTACTATGGGGGATGAATGAATTACTATGGGGGGATTGAATACTATATGGGGGATGTATTACTATATGGGGGATGAATTACTATATGGAGGATGAATTACTATGGGGGATGAATTACTATGGGGGGGGGGGGATGAATTACTATAGGGGGGATGAATTACTATGGGGGATGAATTACTATATGGGGGATGAATTACTATAGGGGGATGAATTACTATAGGGGGGATGAATTACTATATGGAGGATGAATTACTATGGGGGAATGAAATTACTATATGGGGGGATGTAATTACTAATAGGGGGATGAATTACTATGGGGGGATGAATTACTATAAGGGGGCATGAATTAATATATGGGGGATGAATTACTATAGGGGGGGATGAATTACTATATGGGGAATGAATTACTATGGGGGATGAATTACTATATGGGGGATGAATTACTATGGGGGATGAATTACTATATGGGGGATTAATTACTATGCTTACTATATGGGGGAATATTACTAATATAATACTTACTATGGATGACACATACACATCATTCATCTACTCTTGGTCTGGCCCCCGGGTCCAATATATGAACCCATTGCGGCCCTCAAGTCAAAAAGTTTGCCCACCCCTGGGCTAGACAATGGCACCCTGACTGCCATTAGGTATCGGGATGAAATCCTTGGACCCATTGTCAGACCCTACGCTGGTGCAGTGGGTCCTGGGTTCCTCTTGGTGCACGACAATGCCCGGCCTCATGTGGTGAGAGTATGCAGGCAGTTCCTGGACGATGAAGGAATTGATACGATTGAATGGCCCCCACGCTCGCCTAAACTAAATCCAATGGAACACCTCTGGGATATGATGTTTTGGTCCATCTGACACCACCAGGTTGTACCTCAGACTGTCCAGGAGCCTAGTGATGCCCTGGTCCAGATCTGGGAGGAAATACCCCAGGACTAGCCTGCTGCATCATTCATTGTGCTTTTGAATTCAGTGCTAGGTTGATAATTTTCATTTCCATCTAACGATGGGGCATCCTTACATTCCTAACACATCACCCAGTCCAGATCAGTATAGATATCCAGCAGGAGATTTTTCCCCATTGACATCTGATGTGATTTCAAAGTGTTCCTTTCATTTTTTTTGAGCAGTGTACTTGTGTACCAGTTGTTTACACTATATTATTTTTTTTTTTACTGGCTATATT